TACTCATATAACAGGAATCCCATACAATCCACAGGGACAAGGCATAGTTGAAAGAGCTCATCAAACTATTAAAATGTACTTATTAAAGCAAAAAGAAGGAATTGGGAAGGGGTATATATTCCCCAAAGATAAACTTAAAATAACCCTTTTTACTCTAAACTTTTTAAATTTGGATTCATCAGGACTTAGTGCTGTGGAAAGGCATATGTGTCCAAAAAATGTGCATAAGCCCAAGGTACTTTGGAAGGATATTCTAACAGGACAATGGAAAGGTCCTGACCCAGTAATTGTCTGGAGTCGGGGGTCTGTTTGTGTGTTTCCACAGGGAGAACAGCAGCCGATTTGGATTCCAGAGAGATTAACCAAGGTCCTGACCCAGTGATTGTCTGGAGTCGGGGGTCTGTTTATGTGTTTCCACAGGGAGAACAGCAGCCGATTTGGATTCCAGAAAGATTAACTAAATCGATTTCTACAGACCAAAAAGAAGATGATTTGGCTCAAATCCATAACAACTGATATCCAAAACTCCAGTTTGGCTATTCTTACATCTGCAACAGAACCAGGATGCTTTTTTCAATATCTATTTTATTATTGCCCTTTGCCATATCATGAAGTTCTATTTTGTTTTTTGAGCTCATACAGACCTAGGTTAATGTTTTGCTGATCAGTTCTATTTTTTGACTATAGAGTTTTTAAACATTGCAATGGAGATTTCACCTGTAAAAAGTTATAAGGCCTTTACTATAATGTTATGTGTTGTATGTATTATATTATGTGTGCACACTTGTGTTTTGTGTTATATGTTTGAATGTACGAATGTCCATATATCATATATGATGAGCACTCATGATAAAATGGATCCAAATATTTTTTTTCACGTGATTTATATGGTTTAATTTAAATTGGGTAAACAACTGTTGAGGATTGTTTTAATATGTAAACAAAAAAGAAGGTTAACAGATCTGTTTGTTTACTTTCACCTTTTCATTATATTTAATAATTCTCTTAAAGATAATGTAAATTGTTAAGAAAATTGTTTTCTTTTAGTGCCTTCTGTAATGTTACATAATTTTTTCTTTAGCCATTATTGCCAGAATTCCTATCTTCATCCCAGTGCCAGTGAAGACAATGTAAATTGTTAAGAAAATTGTTTTCTTTTAGTGCCTTCTGTAATGTTACATAATTTTTTCTTTAGCCATTATTGCCAGAATTCCTATCTTCATCCCAGTGCTGGTGAAGTCAAAGATAAAACCAATCTACAGCTTCTACAATAGCCATCACTGAACTGCTTGCAGAACTTGCCTGGACACATTGTGAGCTCACCTGTATGCATTGTGAACTATCTGTTGGTGCAGCGACTTGTGGTAGTGTTGGGGTATTTTTGCTGATGATGTCATTGGTGGTACAATTTTTCCAAAAGGAGCCGTCAATTGGCTTGGTGTATCTTCCTCCCTTCTGCTTGTCATGATCGTCCAGCTAAAATTTGGGGGCCAACAGAGGTGAGGCAAAGAACCTCACCCCCCTGCTGGTACAAAGACCTCTCCACAGGTGTGGCTGTATACTGGACCGGTAGTCAGTGATGGGTAAGATCCAATTGCAATGGTACCAACCTAAGGACCATATGTATTATTGGACAACCTAAGGCAGGCACGGTCCCTAAGCCACATGCTTTTTGTTTAAACAGAGAGGGGGAGATGTTGAGAGCCACAGCCGAAGGGGCCCCAGCAAACTTCCAGCTGCCAGCAAACTTCCAGCTGCCGGCTGATGATTGGCTCACAACGGCCCCAGCAACATCTAGCTGATTGGCTCCTCGGCCCCAGCAACATCTAGCTGATTGGCTCCTCTGCGGTGATTCTCATTGGGCTGTTTCCCTGCCTTTTCAGACCACGGAGCTGCTCATTGGGGGACTTTTTTGGCTCCGCCCATGTGACCCAGCCAATTGGCCTCAAGAGCAGGAGGATTGTGGGAGGTGGAGAGAGTCTTGTGGAGGGGAGAGAGAGGCTTGTGGAAAGCCGGTGGTGGCAGTTGAGGCTCTGAGGGTTTTTCCTGAGAGGCTGTTTTGTTTGGCGTGTGTGGTTCTAAAAATAAAGTTAGTTTCTTTTGACAAGTGGCTCCTGATTGTGCCCAGCCAGACTGCGGCACAAACAAACAAAAAACCTTCTGTGTCCCTAGTCCATTCTACGAGTCCAGTATTAAATTCCAGTAGGATTTCTTTCTTTCTTTTTTTCTTCCTTCCTTCCTTTCTTTTCTTTCTTTCAACTGATCTCAAAGAGAAGCTGTTTGTACTCTTTCCTGGTCCCAAGCCATGGAGTAATTTGGAAAGTAACCTTCTCTACTCCACCATCTTGACCTTTCAGAATTAAAAAAAAATTTAAAAAACTGTTGTCATAACATAGTCTATAGGAAAACATTTCTCTCTTTAGGAGTGCTGGAAAACTTACTAATGTTAGCACCCTGAACAGAGCAGCTTGGGTATATTGGGTGCATTTGTAGTTCTTTTACCATCACATGGCTCCTTTTCTGCTCAGGCAATGCTGAAGACCAATTTGTTGAGAAATGTCTTCGTGGCTGCTAAGTAGGCCAGAGTTTCCTGAGACAATTTTCCGTGTGTGTGTGTGTGTGTGTGTGTGTTTATATGTGAATAAAGAAAAAGTTGGCCATGTTGGTCTTATTTGATGTACATTGGTTGCCCATTTGCTGGTGGCTCTTCATAAATCTACTTATAATCGTGACCTGTAATTCCAGAAAAAAAAAACATAGTGTCACCAATTATGAGAGGTTTTCTTCTGGCATTTGAGAACCTACAAGTTCAGTTATATCTTGTGTGCTTTTCCCATAATCTTCATCAAGAATCTTCTGCCTTGGCTTCTTACTACTGCACAGTGCTTTGTGGAATGATGTTTGGTGAAGATGCTTTTAAATAAGCATCCCTCTGGAACCTGGCTGCTTCCAGTCCACACTGGGTGTCTGTACTGCTTGAATCTCCCATCAGTTCTACTTGAGCTGTGGCAAGGGTTGATAGGAGGTCTGACAGTTTGGGTCCAAAGACAGGTTCAACTCAGAGCATATTCCTTCTTTGCTCCCAAACCTGAGTTAATACTGTTTCTCTTATCTAAATTCATCTCCCCTCTCTGTTCTCCTCCAATGGCTAGCTTACTCCCAAATTATTCCAACCCTACCCTGAATATCTGGGTACTACATCTGTCTATTTCATATGTTCTGTGCAGTTACTGAAAGTGTATTCTATTTCCTATGATAGTGCTAAAAGTGGTCCTTGCCCAGGGACTGATCATATGGGTTTTGTAGTGTGGCATCTTTGACCACAATTATATTGCAGTAGAGACTGCATCTTCCTCTATGGGCATGGAGACTGTATATAATGGGTATATAATAGGTACTCAGTAAATACTTTCTTTACAAAACTTGTGACCACCTAAATAGCATGAAAGGAAATGGAGACTGGCAAATGACAGCTAGGGTGATTGGAGTCAGACCAACTATAAGTTAAAAATGGATTTTTATTTGGGGCATCCAGTCTGAAGTTGCCTTCTTTTGTGAAATATGGAAGTCTCAACCAAATTCCAAAGCAACAAACCAGTTCAGTCCCTACCCTGTACTGAAATAGCTGATTAGAAAAAAGTGTTTTTTACAGAGGGTTAAAAAGGCAGAGACAGAAGAAGTACTCCAGGGTCTTATACTCCAGTTCTTTTCTGTCAGAACTGGTGCTTGTCCATTCAAGGGATCTCTCTTCATCTTTGAGTCTTAAGCATAGCAGGCAATGTGATGGAAAAGGGAGATGACTGAGAACAGGATTCTATGGCTGGAAAAATAGAAAAGAACTTCTTCCTACCCAGCTTTGGGGTCTGTGTGGCTGATTCAAGGGGCAAGGGTTGATAGGAGGTCTGGCAGTTTGGGTCCAAAGACAGGTTCAACTCAGAGCATATAAGTGGATATGCCAATGTTCCTCAGGGCAAAGTTCTGTAGGTTTTCCTATTAAAAGCCTTAGAGTTTATTGCAGCCACATGACATTGCTGTTGTATCACAAAGCACCCAGACTCCCTTATGTTAAACCCATGAGCATGGCTATGTTCCAAGAAAACTATTTATGGACACTGAAATTTAAATTTCATTTAATTTAACATTTCGAAAAATAGTGTCATTCTTTAGAATTTTAAACCATTTTTAATCATTCAAAAATGTGGGAAAAATGTTCTTGGCTTATGGGTCATGAAAAAGTGGTGACAGGCTGAATTTAGCCCACCAAATATAGTTTACTGATTATTGCTCTTAAGAAGTAGCAAAATGGACCACCCTACTTAACATTATTCTGTTTTCAAAAAGTCTGATTTGGATCTTTTAACTCTAACCTTAGTCTGTTTGCTTGCATTCCAGATGGGTGCATCCCCTTTTTGCCAGTAATAACAACAGTGGCCTGGTTGGTACAGTAGCAGCTTCAATAAGTGCTTTGGCAGCATTTGAATGGAATGTAAGTGACAACATATACTGTTGCCTTTAAATCAAACCCATATCCAGAAATTTCATAAAACCATTTCTCAGGTTTTTCTGGGACTCTTTATAGGATGTATTTCTCTTTGCTTTGACTTTTATTTTTCCTTGTCCTAGTAAGCTTTTTGTTTTAACTTCAACACCTCCATTCCAGTTACATTATTATTCACCTATTCGAGTTTTCTCAAGCAGTTATTCCCACTAGGCAGGAGGATGGTGAGTTCAAAGCCAGCCTCAGCAAAAGTGAGGTGCTAAGCAACTCAGTGAGACCCTATCTCTAAATAAAATACAAAATAGGGCTGGGGATGTGGTTTAGTGGTTGAGTGTCCCTGAGTTCAATCCCTAATACCACCCCGCCCCCCCAAAAATCTAATTTCTGGGGTGAAGGACCGGTGGTAGAGGGCTGTGGCCTTGGGGTTGTTGTGTCACTCAGTTCTGAAGGAGCTCCGTGGGTATCTAGTGAGTTCTGCTAGCATTTGACCTTCTCTTCCCAGACCCCACACCAGCAGCAACCCTGAGCCGACACCCAGAAAGACCGGCAATAGTGGCCTCCACCGCCTCGCACCCACCCATCAAGGGGATCCTGAAGAACAAGACGTCTGCGACTTCCTCGGTGGTGTCCTCGGTGGAGCAGCCCCACCGGAGTGTTGAAGAGGAGTTGAGTAAAAAATCCCAGAAGTGGGATGAAATGAACATCCTGGCAACATATCACCCAGCAGGCAAAGACTATGGTTTAATGAAAATAGATGAACCAAGCACTCCTTACCATAGTATGATGAGTGATGATGAAGATGCATATAGTGATACAGAAACCACTGAAGCCATGACTCCAGATGTTCTAGCTAAGAAATTAACTGCTGTTGAAGGCTCAGAACCAAAGTATTGGATTCAAGAAAAAAAAAGCAGAGTCGAGGAGAAAAATGACTTCTCACTTGAAGAACGAGAAAAAAAGCGACAATTTGAATTGAGGAGGAAACTTCACTACAACGAAGGACTGAATATTAAATTAGCTAGACAACTAATTGCAAAAGATCTACACGATGATGAAGATGAAATGTTAGAGGCAGACACTGAACAATCAAAGCAAGGATCTACTGCAAGTGGCCAACAGCAAAACAAATCACAAAATTTATAGAAGAGATTTGTTCAACATTGCAATTGTTTGTCAAATACAAACCCTGTTCACTATAACATGCCGCTTCTTGTTCTCCACAATTCATGACTTAAGTACCAAAATGCATTCCAGTTATTTTATATTGCCAAGAATTAAATGATAACCTTAGAGACTGATTAGACTAAAGATGCCTAATTAATGCATATACAGTGTAATGTCATCAGTCTAAAACTGCTTTACTTTAAGAACACTGATTAATTTGTATAGGACATTATATAGCTTTTTATGCTTTAGAAGTTAAACAATACCTGGGGGGGGAGGGGGAAGGGGAACTAATTTATTTTCATCACTTCTAGATGTGATACCTCTTATAAAAGTTTTTTTAATCAAAAGCCTTCTTGGAACAAGAAGATATATAGGCTGAAATATATATATATATATATATATATATATATATATATATATATATATATATATATATATATATTCAGGCTGAAAGGTATTTTAACAGTTGTCTTCAATTGTCTTTTCTGTCTAATTGAGAAGGATTGTAAGCATTACTGTTGCATTTTCTGGCTTACTATCTTTAAAATTCTTGTGTTTATAAGGAAAGATCTGAAGTTTTTTCTACTCAGAACTAGCTTTTTGTTCCCCACAAATAAATTATCAGGTTAAACTTGCGCTAATGTCTGCTGTAACTGATTGTTTTGGTACATTGAGCAGACCAGATCAATATTTTCAATAAATATAATTGTAGCTATCAGTATTCAATTTACATACCTGTCTTAACCTCCTGTTTCTGTTTCCTACTCCTTTCTATACATAAGCACATGATTGTAAGGATTTTATAAAAGAATAACAAAGCTGCTACAATAATGAGATTCTCATTTTGGCCATAAGTACTTATTAATTCTTCTGATAGATAAAGAAAGTCAATTGAGTGGTAGCAATACTATAGGCAGGAAATAACATTCAACTATTCAATTTCTACACATCTATTATTTACAGTGTGATAATTAAATTGCTATTATTAGTTCATTTGACTTAATTAGACCTTAGAAAACAACTGAGACTTTTTTGCATGATGAGAGAATTGTATGTAGCCAGTGATATAATTATTTCTGAATGTAAAGACAGAATTAAGCCTGAACATTTTTATTTAAAAATTTTTAAATAGTTGTGATTTAATGGAATATGATAATGTATGCCATGACAAATGTACTTTATTCTTCTAACTTAGTAGGAATTATTTGGAATTTTTTTCCTGAAATGAAGTGCAGTTCCTGTGTATCACTACACAGTGATGGATGGTTTCATTTCTAGTTACTTATTTATATCTTAATTTTTTGGTAAGTACCAAAAGAATCCATTATATAAACAGACTTAAAATTATTTCTGTATATTATATATATTAAATGGCTTTTATCAAACAGCTTCTCTTCTACTTGCAGATTTATGGAAATATCAGTATGCTGAAATAAATAAAGAGTGGAAGGATTTTTGCTTTTTTGATTCAGTCTCAACTTTTACTTGACCTCTTTGATAAATTGAGTTATCACTTTTATCTCTTCTCTCTGAACTATAACATGATGTGCTCAGCACTAAACTAGAATCAAGGAAATTAAAAAAGAAAAAGAAAAATTGAGAATCCCATTTACAGTGGGAAAGATAAACATGTACTCACTACAGTGTAAAAGCACAAGGAAAAGGGTACTCACCAAATACTGAGGGTTCTCACAGGAAGCACATCAATCATAGATGATGGATAGCACTTGGCACATGGCTTCCTCAGTGCTGATATCCAAAGGATGAGTAGATATTGTCCAAGTGTGGGGCCTGTCCTAGAAAAGGACAGTAGAGTGAGGAGTGAATCATTTGAGAGATTTTAGGTAGAATCTGCAAGGCTGTGGTAGAGTTCCTAATTCTTTAGTAGAATTTGTGTCCTCTTAATCAGAACCTTGTTAAGGACATGTCCTCTCTTTCACTCATAGTACCCTACATCTAGCACATAACTGGGAATGTGGTGTCATAAATCTAGTGTAGCCTGTGTTTTTTCTATTCTTTTCTCTTATCCTTTTTAGAGTTTTCATGTACATGCATGAGCATATTGGTCAGAGGCAGAAGCTTGTGTGAAAAAATGTTGGATCATATTGAAAGTTTAAATCACCAACTGAAAACGTTTTTAAAAAGAAAGTTTAAGCCGACCATTCATGGGTGGACTCAAGAAGTGACCTTGACACATCACAAATGCTATTCCCCTTCTGTGTTGAAAATTTTGCTGCTGCTTTTGCTTAGTAGTATCGTGGAGTACAGAACACATACAGCCTCAGATATGCACTATGGCCAGAGATTTGTTTTGATAGTGCCATGAACACCAGAATAAGTCAGACTCCAGAGGCATGGGCAGAATGGCCTATGACCCAATCAGTGATTATCAATCTGCAGATAACTGCTTTTCATTTAGTCTTTGTCCTCGGGCTTCCTTAATTTCTATGAGGTTCAAGTTCTACTTCCATAAGAAAATAATTGTTACACATGACAGTAAAATCCAAAATAATTGCTGTTTTTTTTTTGGCAAAAACAACATAAATGATATATGTGGAGATTTTTTGTAAGACTTGCATTTTAATGCTAGATTATTTTGTCATCATTATTATTATATTCGACAAGATTTAGAGGGTACTGAGTGTATACTTCTGTTTCTTTCTCATTATTTTATCACCCGCATATAATTTCTATCATTCAAGATTATTTGTTTTGGCAAAGTTTGTATGATCTTCCAGCAGTCCAATGTGGCTCAGATCACTTTGTATTCTGACATTTTTTTTTTAACCTCACATTAGGTTACATCCTAAGCTCCAGAAAATGGTGGCCTTTGCATCATAGAAACAAAAAAAGGAAGTTGCAGTTGTTTGGGAATCATAATTGTTTCATGGGATAGATAAAGCAAACCTTTTTCTTTACAGGTAAAAAAATTATAAGGCCCACAAGCCAACACTCTTTAACTTTACATTCTTCTTGATTTCTTGTGACCTTGCTGCTCTTGCTGGTTCTGTGTCACCATACACTTCAAGACAGGGGTGATTATCTACAGGTGTTCTGAGAAAAATTTTAAGGCGTATCCCTCAGGCATTCATTTATTCACTCATTTTGTTCAATCATAAAACCTGGATACCCAGGCTCACCTGGATACCCAGTCTCACTATTGTTAAAAATATACAGGTGACAAAAAAATCAAATTCCTTGCCCAGAGAGTCTCCCAGTATAGACGGCGGCTTCAGCCCTGTGAGAAATCAGTAGTGGTCCTGCATAGCGATCATTATGGTGAGGTCAACTGGGTGCAGGAACACTGAATCTGGGGTCACTCATGTGCTTCAAGAAAAGCTTATTAGAGAGAACCTGAAGCCCTTAGGAATAAAGGTTACATATGTTGGTAGAAAAATCATATCACAGAGGGTCAAAAATACATGGATTATACTGTCATGTGTAACTAAAAAGAACAAATAAAAACTTTAAAATAAGGAAGTTGAAAAAAAGCTTATTTGGATTATTCGAGTTCAGACAAAATTATGGTCAAAACAGGGAGTATGTGGGGTAGAGTGATGGGAAATGGAGATGGGTCTGCAAGTGTAAGTACAGTTCAATTGTGAAAGGCTCACATGTATGCTGGATTTTAAAAGTGTGTCCTATATCCTCCTGGAAATAGGAAATGTAGGCTTTCAGGTCATTTAAGAAGTTCCATTCAGACTGAAAAGAGAATGGACTTGAGCAGAAGTTCACACAGTGCCCCATGAGGTTCTAGGAAGGATATAGAAAAAAAGGGAAACTGCTTTCTCATTATCAATGCAGTTTTGATGCCAGATTACAGGTGAAGGCAGTGGAGAGGGAAGTATTATGAGCAACTCAGTCTTGAGGCTCAGAGATCTGGATGCATGAGGTCTTTATTAGTGGATTAGGGGATCCCAGAGAGGAGCTAAATGATGGGTGATAGGAGAACAGCGAGTTAACATTGGTACTGGGTGAGTGTTTGGTACCTGTAAGACACTAATATGGAGATGCCCAACAGGCAGTGGGAGCATGAGAGTTTCAGGTTGGTTAGGAGGGGAGAGCTGGGCTGAAATTATCAACATGGGCATCCTCTTATTGAACACCTGCCTTATACTAGTCATGGTATGCATTTTCAGGGATATATCTATGAGAAGCCATTGTTCCATCACCAGGAAGAGATGGAACAAATAAATTTGGAATCTTATGAAGCAGTACTGTCCCAGGTGGCAATGGAGGAGTTTCTAATACAGTCTGGGTGTTAGAAAGGCCATCTGGGTGGAGTAATGGGAGAGCATCCCTGAAGAAAGGCCATCTGGGTGGAGACTTGTTGAGAAAGGGTGACTGATCACAGGGAATAGTCTGTGCAAAGCCCAGAATGCAAGAGCATAGGGCCCTGTGGGCACCTGGAGTGGATCAATATGGCTGAAGCACAAAAGCTAGGATTATAGCAGGAGGCTGTCAACAGATTTTGTTTTTATTTATTTTTAAATTATTAGTTGTTCAAAACATTACAAAGCTCTTGACATATCATATTTCATACATTTGATTCAAGCAGATTATGAACTCCCATTTTTACCCCGTATACATATTGCAGATTCACATCGGTTACACATCCACTTTTTAACATACTGCCATACTAGTGTCTGTTGTATTCTGCTGCCTTTCCTATCCTCTACTATCCCCCCTGCCCTCCCATCTTCTCTCTCTACCCCATCTACTGTACTTCATTTCTCTCTCTTGTTTTTTTCCTCTTTCCTCTCATTTCCTCTTATATGTAATTTTGTATAACAATGAGGGTCTCCTTCCTTTACCATGCAATTTCCCTTCTATTTCTCTTTCCCTCCCCCCTCTCGTCCCTGTTTAATGGTGATCTTCTTCTCATGCTCTTCCCCCCTATTCTGTTCTTAGTTGCTCTCATTATATCAAAGATGACATTTGGCATTTGTTTTTTAGGGATTGGCTAGCTTCACTTA